ATAATTATTTAAAAAAAAAAAAAAGAAAAAGCCATCTACCAGAAATCACTTGAACCCGCCCTTATGAGATGGGGTCTCAATATCTAACCGTCCCCTCTCTTCCTTGCAGTGAAAGAGTTCTTAGCCAAAGCCAAAGAAGATTTCCTTAAAAAATGGGAAAATCCCGCTCAGGTAAGCCCCCACCCCAGGGAGCTCACCTGGTCCCTTGGGAGAAGGATCCACCCCCCCCCCAATCCCGCAGAGGCAGGGTCCCACTTGGCCCCAGATCCCCCCCCATACACGGTCCTAGACGCTCCCCACCTCTCCAGCAGCCACCCCACCAGCCCAGCTCCCCACGCAGGTGCCAATTGTTCCAGGGTCCCCGGGCACCGCCCTGCACCCTCTGCAGCGGGGCCCCGCCCCCTGGCCAGCACTGGGGACCTGGGCGTGGCCCTGGGGAAGGGGCGTGGCTGACCCTCCCGACGCCCCGCCCGCAGAACACAGCGCACTTGGATCAGTTTGAAAGAATCAAGACCCTCGGCACCGGCTCCTTCGGGCGGGTCATGCTGGTGAAGCACAAGGAGACCGGGAACCACTACGCCATGAAGATCCTCGACAAACAGAAGGTGGGTGAGTCCGCACGTGCGCCCGCCCGCCCGGCATGGCCATCCGTCCCGGGGAAGCAGGCGACTGGAAGTGCCTTCTTGCTTGCTTTTTGTTGTTTTGGGTGTTTTGTTTTGTTTTGTTTTTTAGAATTATTTTGGGACCAGCAGGTGGCGTGGTGGTTAAGGCGCTGGACACTCCCACATGGCTGACCAGGGTTCAAGTCCTGAATCTGGTGGCTTGCTTTCTCACGTTCCTCTCTCTCTCACTCTCACCCTCTGTCTCTCTCTGGTCAAACTAAAAAATAAATGAATGAATGAATAAAATAAAATAAATAATTTTTTAAAAAAAGAATTATTTTATTTAACTTGGTTTATTTTCATTTGACCAGAGAGGGACAGAGCGAGTGAGCGAGAGAGAGGGAAAGTGAGAAAGCAAGCCACCAGGTCTGGGACTCGAACTGCAGTCGGCCATGTGGGAGTCCAGCACCCTTCACCACTACGCCACCTGCTGGCCCCAGGTGTCTTTTTATTGTGTAAAGAATTATTCAAAAAACAACAAATAAACAATTATTTTATTTAACTTTAGTTAGTTGAATTTGATCAGAAAGGTACAGAGCGAGCGAGCAATAGAGAAAGAAAGAAAGAAAGCCGCCAGGTCCAGGACTCGAACCGCATTCGGCTATGTGGGAGTCCAGCGCCCTTAACCACCACAACACCTGCAAGCCCCATCGGGTTTTTTTTTTTTTTTTTTTTTTTGAGAAAGTGATTTGTGCTATAGGGTATGCGCACTGGTTAGAAAGACAGAGACAGGCAGACAGAAAGCAAGAAATCACCCCCCAGGGGGATGGCCATGCCAAGATCCCTTCTCCTCCATTCTCCTCTCCGGATTTTGGGGACGCACGCACGCACATACACTCGGTGTGAGTTTCAAGCTGCCAGGTCCAGGACTCGAACCGTGGTTAACCATGTGAGAATCCAGCGCCTTCACCACTAAGTCACCGGCTGGTCCCTTTTTGATCTGTCAGAGGGTGGTGTGCTTGACAGAGAGAGACAGAGACAGAGGGAGAGGGCGAGATCTCCCTGCAGTGGGGTGGGGCCATGCCACACTCCCTGTACCTCTGTTTCTCCATTCTCTCTGGATTTGGGCCATGCAGGCACACATACCCAGCGTGTTTTTCAAGCCACCAGGTCCAGGATTTGAACCACACAGTAGGCCCTGTGGGATCAACTTCTTTAACGATGAAGCCAGGGACCAGCCCATAGGTAAAAATGACTTTCTTCTTTCTTTGTAGTTTGCTAGAGGGTGCACATGTTGGACAGGGAAAAAGTGAGAAAGCACCCTCAGGGGGATGGCCAAGCTGGACTTCCTCCTCCACTCTCCTCTAGGGGTTGGGAGCACGTGTGCACACGCGCCTGGCGTGTCTTTCAAGCCATGCAGTCCAGGACTCGAACCACACCACTGGCCAAGTGGGATCCAGCAGCCTTAACTCCCATGCCACTGGCTGGCCTAAGAGGTTTCTTTTGTCTTTTTAATTACTTATTTAATTTTATTGGTTATTATTATTTATTTTTTTCATTTCTAAAGGGCACACGGAAGCTTGCCGGAGAGACAAAGAGAAAAGAGAGGAAAAACCACCCTTTGTAGGGAGTGGTCATGCTGCAATCCCTCCTCCTCCATTTCTCCTTTCTTTCCGGGTTTTGGGCACACACACACACCTGGACCTGCTGTGTTTCTCCAACTGTCCAGTCCAGGACTCAAACCACACAGTCGGCCATGTAGGGTACAGCTGCCCCACCTACGAGGCCATGGGGCCGGCCCAGGTAAGGCAATTTCTCAACCCTCCAACCTGGAGGGCCACTCCTGCTTGTCTTTTTTTTTTTTTTTTTTTTTTTTTGGGGGTTTTTTTTTTTGGGGGGTGTGTGCCTCCCACATTGCTATAGGGTGTGTGTGCTCACCAGAAAGACAGAGAGAGACAGACAGACAGAAAGTGAGAAATCACCCCCCAGGGGGGATGGCCACGCCGCAATCCCTTCTCCATTCTCCTCTCAGGATCTTGGGCACACACGCACATGCGCCTGGCGTGAGTTTAAGCCACTGGGACCAGGACTCGAACCGCGGTCGACTACATGGAAGTCCAGTGACATAGCTATGATGCCATCTGCTCGCTCCTCCTGCTTGTCTTTTTGGTTTTCAGCTCGGCTTCTTCCAGGAAGCTCCCTCTGATCTCTTTCCCCGACTGTGCTAGGCGCCTTATCTGGGCGTTCACAGGCCCCGAGTTTCTGCCACCCCGGCTTTGACCTCTCTGGGCCATGAGGCCCGGTGACTCATGTACTCTTTGCCCTCCTTGCAGTGTCCTCAGCGCCCAGCCCAGGGCCCGTCAGGCCACATTTGACTCCTAGGATTCTGGGGAAAGGAGCCGCCCCTCCCCCAACAGCCCGCTTCCAGGCCCGCGGGGGAAGGAGCCCCTCTGACACCCCTCCTCGCCCGCCTTGTCCCCACAGGTGGTGAAACTCAAGCAGATCGAGCACACCCTGAATGAAAAGCGGATCCTACAAGCGGTCAACTTTCCGTTCCTCGTCAGACTCGAGTTCTCCTTCAAGGTGGGCTGCCCGCTGCCAGGGGTTGGGTCCCCGCCGTCCCTGCCATCTGTGGTCTCTGGGCTCCCAGGGCTGGGCTTGGGGCCTAGGAAAACCCATATGGTGTTCTGAGAACTTGCGGGGAAGAAAGCGGGCCCTGCAGGAAGGATCCTGGGCGTCCCGTAGGACCCCCTCCTTCAACTCGTGGGCCAGTTGACCAATATGATTTTTTTTTTTGGAGAGGTTTTTGCTATAGGGCACATGCACTCACCAGAAAGAGAGAGAGAGACAGAGAGATAGAAAGAGAGAAATAACCCCCCAGGGGGGCTGGCCAGGCCACAGTCCTTTTTCCTCCATTCTCCTCTTGGGATCTTGGGCACGCACGCACACGCGCCCAGGGAGAGTTTAAGTCACCAGGTCTGGGACTCGAACCGCGGTCGACTACATGGGAGTCCAGCAATGTAGCAGTTATGCCAACTGCTGGTCCCCAAGAGTCTTAAAGCCACAATCCACCACCACCCCCCGCCCCGGCTCTTTCTTTCTTTTTATTGTTTTTAAATTTGCTATAGGGTACATGCAGTTACTGAAGAGAGACAGAGAAAGCGAAAGGGGAAAAGTGAGAGAAATCGCCCCCCAGGGATGATGGCCACACCGCAATCCCTTCTCCTCCATTCTCCTCTCGGGATCTTGCATATGTACACACACACACGCCTGGTGTGTTTTCCAAGCTGCCAGGTCCAGGACTCGAACTACACAGTTGACCATGAAGGATCCAGCTGCCTTAACCTCCATGACACCAGCATGTGGATGTAAATTACTCTAGATGTAAACCTAGAGCCTTCCCACGTGATTCTGCCCTGTAGGGTCACATGTAAGCACCATCCAGCTTCCTAATCTAATTTTTTTTTTTTTTTTTGAGAGGTTTTTGCCACAGGTTGCTTGCACTTACTGGAAATACGAAGAGAGACAGAGACAGAAAGCGAGAAATCACCCCCCCGGGAGGAGGGCCACACTGCAATTCCTTCTTCTCCATTCTCCTCTCGGGATCTTGGGCACGCACGCACACGTGCCCGGCGTGAGTTTTAACCCACCTGGTCCAGGACTCGAATCACAGCCAACTATGTGGGAGGCCAGGGATGTAACCTTGACACCATCTGCTGGTCCCACTCATGATAGTTTGTTTTTGTTAAAGATTTATTTTATTTCACTTTTTTTATTTAGTTTAATTTGACCAGAGAGGGTCAGAGTGAGAGAGCAAGAGGGAAAGTGAGAAAGCAAGCCACTGGGTCCAAGACTCAAATCACAGTCGACCATGTTAGAGTCTAGCATCCTTAACCACCATGCCACCTGCCAGTCCCCTTCATGATGGTTTATTTTTGTTTTGTTTTGTTCTTTAAGAATTATTTTACTGGGACCAGCAGTTAGCCTAACGGCTATGTCTCTGAACTCCCATGTAGTCGACCGCGGTTCAAGTCTCGGACCCGGTGGTTTAAACTCACACCGGGCACGTGTGCGTGCATGCCCAAGATCCCGAGAGGAGAATGGAGGAGATGGGATTGCGGTGTGGTCATCTCCCCTGGGGGGTGATTTCTCGCTTTCTGTCTCTCTGTCTCTGTCTTTCTGGTGAACGCACACACCCTATAGCAATAAAATCTTTCAAAAAAAAAAAAGTATTATGTTATTTAATTTTATTTATTCATTTATTTATTTTAACTTGACCAGAAAGAGACAGAGAAATAGAGAGAGAGAGAGGAAAAGTGAGAAGCAAGCCACTAGGTCCGAGACTCGAACCACAGTCGGCCATGTGGGAGTTCAGCACCCTTAACCACCATGCCACCTGCCAGTCCCAATCATGATAGTTTTTTTAACATTGGGTCTCATATTTTTATTTTGGGCCTTACAGATCCCATAGCCCACCCAAATCCCAGTTCGCAGATAACAAAGCTGTGGCCTCAAAAGCCTTACTCAGACCCCCTAGACACACACGACTGCTCGGGTCCACCTCTCCAGCCACGGCACGCAGGCCAGGCCCCTCCACCTCCCCGACCCGGGCCTCACGTTTCCCTCCCGGAGTGGCAGAGCAATGGTTACCCTGCCTTCCTCGTGGGCAGAATGGAACGAGAAGGGGAGGTTCGGCTGGCTGGGCCACCTGCCTTTGAGGCCCGCTGCAGACAGGGAGCCAGGGTTGGCATCACTTTCTGTCCGAACGAGGTGAGGCCCCCGGACCGTCCGATCCGGGGAGGGGGAGCGAGGCCCTGACGTTGCCGCTGCCTCCCACAGGACAACTCCAACTTGTACATGGTGATGGAGTACGTGCCTGGCGGGGAGATGTTCTCACACCTACGGCGAATCGGGAGGTTCAGGTAAGCAAGCCCGCCCCTGCCACCTGGCGCACTGGGGGGGTCCAGAGCCCTTGGGAGGTCTGGAGCTCCTGGCGTGTCTAGAGGCGGCACCGTCCCGCCAAACCATCCGGGGTTGCAGACGGGTCCAGGGTGTTGGGACGTGGAGGTGACCCATCATCGTCCCTGTGGGGTTTTGTTTTCTCTGTGCTGAGGAAAATGCCATGTTTCAGCCACCACAAAAGGAAAAGAGCAGACCAAAGGCCAGCAGGTGGCGTGGTGGTTAAGGCACTGGACTCCCACATGGCCGACTCAGGTTCAAATCCCAGACTTGATGGCTTAAAAAATCATACCAGGCATGGGACCAGCACATGATGTAATGGCTATGTCGCTGGACTCCCATGTAGTCGACCACAGTTCGCGTGCCGGACCCGGTGGCTTAAACTCACGCCGGGCGCGTGTGCGTGCGTGCCCAAGATCCCGAGAGGAGAATGAAGGAGAAGGGATTGTGGCATGGCTATCCCCTCTGGGGGGTGATTTCTCAATTTCTGTCTCTCTGTCTGTCTCTCTCTGTCTTTCTGGCAAGTGCACGTGCCCTGTAGGGGAAAAAAAAAAAAAAA